GTTGTGGCTACCTAGGCTAGGGCTAGAGTGCAAGCCGGTAGGGACTGTTACAGGATTAGTTCGAGTGATTCTTCAGTTAAAATTAGCAAATTTTCTATATATTAAGTATTTCCCCCAATTTTAGTGATTTTCTAGGTATTAAGCATTTCCACAAATCTGAGTGATTCCTGTGAGTATAAGTGTTCCAATGAAAATGTCCTTTAAACTCTCTTCTAAGGGAAGCCTGAAATATAACTAAGTCAGAGTTGAGGTGTCCTAAAGGTTGGGATTACTTCTATTGGCTTGATTCTAGTGTTATCCTGTTGTGTAATCGTACTGTGAGTGATATTTTTTTTTACATTTTTAAACAAGTGATTTTGTGGAAAAACGGAAAAAGTTAATTGAAAAAATCTTAGGAAAATTGGGTTGTTAAAATTTAGTTTAAGTACACTTGGACATAATTTGTGTTATTTGGGAATAATTCAAATTCGTGTGTCAAGTGAGCATTCCAGGTGTCATTATTATTCAGTAGAACGTGTTTGTAATGTAGTTATTGTTTTAACGTAAAGGAATTATAAATAAATTTGTCAGAGTTAAGTGAATTTTCGGAAAATTGTTTTGGAAAATTTCCTGTGACCAGATTTGAGACAGAATCGCGGATTTTAAGAGAAATTCGAATTTGTGTCAAATGAACATCCCATGTATCATGATCATGCTTTCGAATGCATCACTAATGTATTTTTTTAACGTAAATAAATTGTAAATAAATTGTTCAGTGTTAAGAATTTTCAGTAAAATTCTGTGGAAAAATTTTCAAAGACCAGATTTGTGCCAGAATTGCGGATTTTGAGAGAAATTCGAATTCGTGAGTCAAGGGCGTGACCCAGGGGTCATTATTATTCATCAGAGCGTGTCAGTAACATAAACCTTGTTTGCAAGTTCGGATATGAAAATTAGAATTTTAAGCGTTTAAGCGAAAAAACGCAGGATTTATGTTTAGCGTAGCTGGACTTTTGTTCTTTAAATAACATCTAGCATACAAGTGTAGTAAATTCATTATTAGTCTTCCATCATGAGTGGCATTATATATATTTATTTAAAAACTTTGTAAAAATAATATTCTTTGATTTTTATACAAAGTGCGCAACTAAGTTTTAGTCCAGCGGAAGAGTGTTAATCCTTCAGAAATCCTTAGTATTGCAGTTGCTTGCTCCTTCAAGCAAGTGTTTTAAATTTAAATCAATCACACTTACTAATGTAAATAAATAAATTAAAGTACATTTTTGTTACTTGAATAATTCAGAGCCAGTTAAGTCTCTGAGCACGCTGCCGAAAACAGCACCAGTGTTTTCATTATTAAATTAAAATGTATTAAATTGCATACAGAGTATTAAAGTGATTTAGAAATTTTTTGATTAATTAAAGTAAAGTTTGGATAAGTGCACATTCTATCTGTACTCGCATTACTTACGAATGTAGATCACAAGAGAAAATAATTTCATTCATTGAATGACTTGAGTCAGAGTGGAGACGACGCCTGTCACCACTTGTCAAAACACTGAGGAGATGTACGGATGCTCGCAGGGTAGAGACCTTCTTATAATATGTGGCATTATTTTGAGTACCAAGAACAGACACATGGAAGATTTTTAGAGGGGTGGTGTTGAGTTACGCTTTGAATTATTCATTGTTAATCACTTATGGAAACGCGAGGTGGGTTAAAATTTCACTTGGAACCGACGACGGGTCTCAGTGATTTGGAAAATGGTGAAAATGTATAATTTTCATGGATGCATAATAGACTCAACCCATCCCCATCCAACCCCTCCCCGCATACCAACCCTAGGCTGCACAGCATCCACCCCAAACACATGCCGCCCCATACCCACTCCAACCACAGTCCGCCTCATATCCACCACAACCTCAGGCCGCCCCCCATATCCATTCCTACCCCAGGCCACCTCATATCCACCCCAACCCCAGGCCGCCCCATATCCACCCCAACCCCAGGCCGCCCCATATCCATCCCAACCCCAGGCCGCCCCATATCTATCCCAACCCCAGGCCGCCCCATATCCGTCCCAACCCCAGGCCGCCCCATATCTATCCCAAACCCAGGCCGCCCCATATCAATCCCAACCTCAGACCGCCCCATATCCATCCCAACCCCAGGCCGCCCCGGCCCATATCCATCCCAACCCCAGGCCGCACCATATTCATCCCAACCCCAGGCCAACCAATTTTCACCCCAACCCCTGGGTAATCCATATCCACCCCAGGCTGCCCCATATCCATCCCAACTCCAGGCCAACCAATTTCCACACCAACCCCTGGGTAATCCATATCCACCCCAGGCCGCTCCATATCTACCCGAACCCCAGGCCGCCCATACCCACCTTAACCCATATTCACCTCAACCCCAGACACCCCAACCTCAGGCCTAACCCCAGATCGACCCATACCAATCCCAGCTCATCTCCACCCAATCCCTCCCTGTAAAAAATTTCCCTTCCCCCCATCACTCTCCCCTCCTCTTTCATCCCCCTTACTCCCTTCCCTCCTCCTACTTTCCCTTTTATGCTCAGCCACATCCCCTCCTACCAACCCCCCCCCCCCCCGCCTGGTGGTAACCCGTCGCCCTTCTCTATCCCTTATCTCTCACCGACCCTACTCCTCACCCCTCACCTCCCCTTCACCACCCTGTTCCCCCTAGCTTCCCTCCCAGTGTTGACTCCCAGGAAATTGCTTGTAGATGAAGCAAGCAGGCGTCTGGTAGACGCAGCAAGCAGGCGTCTGGTAGACGCAGCAGTAATGAATTGTGTTGGAATTGTTATGGCCGTGGCCATTTTCAAAATTCTTGTACAAGTGAATGGGTTAATGAAGACCCTGGACAGGTCACCCCTAGAAATGGTAGGCCTACTTTTGAAGTGAAGGTGGAAGGTGTGAGATTGACTGCATTTGAGGACACTAGTAGTCAGGCAACTTTGATTAAAAATTCAGCCTTCAGCAAGTTGAGACATACACGTCTTAATCATTGTGAAAACAAAAATTACTTCAGTTAATGGGGAAAAGATAGACATTTTGGGGCAGGGTACAGTTAACTTTGAAATAAGTAATGAGGAATTGCAACCTCATACATGCACGATCATTGAAAATCTTGCATTTCGTGGTGACGTTTTGATTGGGATGAATTTCTTGAGTAGATTGAGTACTTATAGTCTGCACAAAAATGTGTAAGAAACTGCAAATTGCGGTTGGAAAAGATTTCTTACCCAATTGAGATGGTTGACCATCCTTCAGTAGTGGCTTCAATTAAGATAAAGCAGAAGCATAACGTAAATTACCCCACATTGCTTTTAAAGTCTCTTCCAGACACTGATAAGAGGTCACGTGGGTTACACGTGTTTACCAAGCAAAGTTGCCAACCACATCCCGTTAAATTCATTAAAGTGTCCGTGGGACGTCACAGCCTACCAGGAAATACCCTTCAGGTGGCTGGAAGATGTGACAGGTTATTAATTCCTCACCATTTATTTGTGGTGCTTGATAAAGGTGCACTTATTCCAGTCGTCAACCTCTCACATAAAACCTATCGCTTCAGAGCTGGTGATAGCGTATCTCGGGGAACTCTGGTGAATGATACAAAAAAAATTTCACCATGTGTCATCGGAAATGCCAACCGTCACAGCACAATTTAATGCACAATGTAGTGCATTAAATGTAATAGACTGCAATAAAACATTGATTAAAAAGAATGCGACAGGTGTTCATAATATTACACATGATGTCGATAAACTGAAATCAGTGTTAGATTTACATGTTCCACAGACAGGCAGAAAACGTTGTGAAGGATTTTACGAAATTTATCAAAATTGTTTGCAACCTAGGATGACCAGATTGGTCTCCTTGATAGAACTGAGCACACAATTCGAACAGGTGATCATGCACCTGTTAACACTCGTCAGTGGAGGCTCCCGGAACAGCCAAAGAAAGTTATCAGGGATGTGTGCTAGAAAATGTTAAGACAGGATGTGACAGAACCCTAGTATGTTACCGTGGCTGTCTACTGTTGTGTTAGTTCATAAACCAGATGGTAGTTATCGTTTTTGTGTGGACTACCGAAAGTTAAACGAAATAACTTAGGGTGATGTTTATCATTGATCCCAAATTCAGGAGATAATAGATCAGTTTGGGACAGCTAAATATTTGACCACTCTTGATGCTAAATCGACGTATTGGGTAATACCAATAGCTGAAAAAGACAGGGAAAAGTCGGCATTTTCTGATGGCAGCACACCTACCAATTTCGTAGGATGCCTTTTGGCCTTAAGGCAGCCCCTTCATCATATCAGAGGGTCATTAATTACATACACAGTCCAGTCTTGGGAAGGCACTCGATATCGTACCTGGATGATTTTGTGATATATTCCAGGACATCTGATAAACACTTACGAGACTTGATTGATACTTTTACTCTGTTAGATCGAGCAGGTTTCAAATTAAATGTTCAGAAGTGAACTCTGGCAGATCAGAAATTCAAGTAGCTGATGTTTCAGGTGAGCACAGATGCTCTTGGGCCTGATCCAGACTCTTGCCGTGCTATTGCTGAAATGCCAACTCCAAGAACAGCAAAGGACGTGCTCAGCTTTGTGGGTGTGGCTGGATATTTCCATCGCCACATTAAAGGTTTTGCCAGTTCATCAACAACCTTGACCGAACTAACAAAGAAAAAAGTAATGTTTGTTTGGAAACCAGAGCATGATGTCGCCTATGCTAAAATGAAGAGTCAGCTCATTACAACCACCATATAGGCCATACCTGATTTTGATAAAGAGTGGGAGGTACACACGGATGCCAGTGGTATAGCTATTGGCGGATGTTTAATACAACGAGATACAGAAAATCTACCCCATCCTGTGGTCTATTTCAGTAGGATGGTGAAGAGACCAGAGGTTCGTTATTCGGCCACGGATCGGGAGGTGCTAGCAGTTGTAGAGGCAGTTAGATATTTTGAACCGTATCTATTCCAACGTCATTTTGTCATCTATACTGATCATAGAGGCCTATCACACATTTTTAAGAAAACAACTAAAAGCACACGAATGTCATGATGGTCCCATGAACTGTCTACTCACTCATTCCAGATACTTTGCAAACTTGGACTGTCACACGTAGTGCCAGACACCTTCAGCAGAAATATTGCTGCGATTTACTTTAACCTACAGTACTGAGAATATTTCTAGTGATAAGATGAGATAGTTCCAGATGAACGAACCTAGGTGGAAAGAAATTATTATGCATTTTGAGGGAGGAAAATATCCTTCAAAGAATCGTAAATTATCAGTACATGACTTTGAATTGAAAGAGGGAGTATTGTATTGTGTAAATAGTCAGAAAGTTTGGGAGGTATTCCAGCAGGTTATTACACATGAATTAAGATCATCAGCGTCAAAACTGACACATGCCTCGAAGATTGCAGGTCGCCCAGGAATTTATAAAACTCACTTGAGAGCAAAGTATCTCTTTTATTTCCCATGTGTTTACTAGTTGTGTTTACTAGTTGTGTTTACTAGTTGTGTTTTGCGGGGGTTGAGCTTTGCTCTTTCGGCCCGCCTCTCAACTGTCAATCAACTGTTTACTAACTATTTTTTTTTTCCCACACCACACACACACACTCTAGGAAGCAGCCCGTGACAGCTGACTAACTCCCAGGTACCTATTTACTGCTAGGTAACAGGGGCACTTAGTGTGAAAGAAACTTTGCCCATTTGTTTCTGCCTCGTGCGGGAATCGAACCCGCGCCACAGAATTACGAGTCCTGCGCGCTATCCACCAGGCTACGAGGCCCCCATAATGTATGTATGTATGTTATTAGAGGTGTTTAATACGTAAAGACATGCTCCAATTGTCAGAGGAGAAAAGGTACCCTTAAGGTACAAGCCCCACTGCAAGAATTCCCAGAGATTTCTGAACCTTTAGATCGAGTAGGCGCCGATATGAATGATCTCCATTGCAGCCATTCAGGCAATCATTACGTGTTGGTATTAATGGACCACCACTCCTTCTACCACGACCCACACCTCCATCACTCCCTCTTCCACCACTCATAATACCACCACTCCCTCTACCACCACCTTACCTTGCAGTTACCTTGCAATGATTCTGGGGCTTAGCATCCCTGCAAACCGTTCCTGGACCAGGACTTCTTGTTGATGGACTGGCTACTTGCTGGACGCGGCTGCTCGCAGCTTGATGTATGAATTGAGGGAGGGAAATGACCTTGTTGACCTGTTGATTAGGTATTCTTTGGAGGTGTTTATCAAGTTATCTCCTGAACACTGTGAGAGGGGTAGGCCAGTTATATCCCTTATGTGTAGTGGAAGACTGTTGAAAAGTCTCAGGCCTCGGATGTTGATAGAGTTCTCTCTCAGAGTACCTATTGCACATCTGCTTTTCATTGGGGGGTATACTACACATTCTGCCATGCCTTCTGTTCTCATGTGGTGTTATTTCTGTGTGCAGGTTTGGAACCATTCCATCTACTTTTTCCACGAGTAAATTATTATGTACCTCTCCCGCCTGCACTCAAGAGAATAGAGATTTAGGCATTTTAGACGTTCCCAATAGTTTAGATGTTTTACTGAGTCACTACTCCCTCTACCACCACCCACACTACCACCACTCCCTCGACCACCACTCCCTCGACCACCCCTTCCTCTACTACCACTCCCTCGACCAACCCTCCCTCTACTACCACTCCCTCTACCACCACCCACACTACCACCACTCCCTCGACCAACCCTCCCTCTACCACCACTCACACTATCACAACTCTCTCTACCACAACTTCCTTTAACACCACTCCCTCTACCACCACCAACACTACCACTGCTCCCAATACCACCACTTCCTCTACCACCTTTCCCTCTATCATCACTCCCTCTACCACCACTCTCAATACTACAACTCTCTCTGCCACTACTCACTCTACCACCACCTACATTCCCAACACTACCTCTATCACTGCTCCCTCTACCACCACCCACACTACCACCACTTCCTCTACCACCACCCCACACTACCACCACTCCCTCTTCCACGACCACCTCTATTACCACTCCCTCTATCACCAGTCTTTCACCAACCACCCAAACTACCACAACTCCCTCTACCACCACCTTCACTTCCTCCACTCTCTCTATTACCACTTCCTCTAACACAACTTCCTCCACCATTACCACCACTTCCTCTACAGTCACTCCCTACTCCACCAATCACTCCATCACCACTCCCTCTACCACAAATCCTCTTACTACGACCCCACACTACCACTAGTCCCTCTACCACGAATACCTCTATCATCACTCCCTCTACCACAACTCCGTCTATCACCACACACATACTATCACCACTCCCTCTACCACCCCTCCCTCTACCACCACTCCCTCTACCACCCCTCCCTCTACCACCACTCCCTCTACCACCACTCTACCACCCCTCACTCTACCACCACTCCATTTACCACCACTCCCTCTTCCACCACCTACACTTTCACAACTCCCACTACCTCCACTCCCTCTACCACAACCCACATTACCACTCCCTCTTCCACCAAAACGTCTATTAACAGTCCCTCTACCACCACTCCTTTTACCACCACTCCCTTTACCACTACTCCCTCTACCACCACTCCACTTACAACTACTATATCTACCAACACTCCCTCTACCACAAGCCACACTTCCACCCACTCCATCTACCACCTCCAACACTTCATCTACCACCAATCTCTCTACTACCACTCCATCTACCATCATTCCCTCAACAACTACTCTGTCTGCAACCACTCCCTCTACCACCACTCCCTTTACCACATATCTTTCTATCAACAATCTCTCTACCACCACCACTTCATCTACCATCACTCCATCAACCAACCCCCACACTCTATATACCGCGACTGCATTTACTGCCACTCCATCTACCGTCACTCCAACAACCACCACTCCATCTTCTGCCACTTCGTTTACTGACACGCAATCTTCTACCACATCATCTGTCACCACTCTATCGACCACCACTCCATCTGCAACCTCACCATCTGACACCACACTACCTACCACTCCCTCTACCACCACTCCCTTTACCACCACCCCCTCTACCACCACCAACACCACCTCCACTGTGGGGGAAAATTCTCCAGCATATAATCTAATATAATAATAAATAAACAATTGATTCAAATAAAACTAGAGAAGTGGACTGTAAAACTACTAAATATTATTTGGTGTAGTTCCCTTACACATCTTTTTTGGGGGGGGGGGGGCGAGTCAGTAATACTGAGATTACCTATGACATATACATGAAATTTATTTCAATCTTGAAAATCATTAATAAATTCGAATCATGAGGTTAGTACACTAACTACTGTGTTATTATTGAAAATAAGTTCTTAGCTGTTTAGTTATGAACGTAGAATACGTAAGTCAGCTCTTTGTAACTCATCTAATTCAGTTCATGACTTTTGTTGATACTGAATCCGCTGATCGTAGCTGTGGAAAACTTTACCGATAAACAACGATATAATTTACTGAATTGAATTAAATCAGTTGCCAATCTATATTCCTTAATAAATTCAACAAGGTTAGACTGGGTTTAATTCGATTAATATATATACATAGTTCATTCTCATAGGAGCCGAGTGGCTGATGCTGTAACTGCATCGATACTAATGAAAATTTAGTTGTACTATGCTACTGGTTAGTAGGGTTAATATATTTAATTTCCTAGCACAAAAAAATTGTCTTATCTTACTAGGGTTAATGTTTGTGGTGTCGGAAATTTTCGACACCCACTCCCTCTACCATCACTCCCTCTACCATCACTCCCTCTACCACCACTCCCTCTACCACCACTACCTCTACCACCACTCCCTCTACCATCACTCCCTCTACCATCACTCCCTCTACCATCACTCCCTCTACCATCACTCCCTCTACCACCACTCCTTCTACTACCACTCCATCTACCACCACTAACTAATGCCATTACATCTACAGGTACTTCATCTACTGCCACACCTTCTGCCATAACTCCTTCTACCTCCACTTCATCTACAACCATTACATCTACTACCCTCTCATCTAATGCCACACATCTACCATCACCAACACTACCACCACTTCATCTACCACAACTCCATTTACTGCCACTCTATCTGCCACCACTCCATCTACTGCCTTACCATCTACTACCAACCACACTACCATCACTTCATCTACCACCACTCTATTTACCACAATATCATCTTTCACCACTCCATCTACCACCACTATATTTACTGCCACACCATCTACCACCACTACATTTACTGCCACACCATCTACCACCACTACATTTACTGCCACACCATCCATGACCATCTACACTAACACCACTCCCTCTCCCTCTATCAACATTCCATTTACCTCCACTCCATATACTGCCACACCATCTTCCACAACCCACACAACCACCACTCCCTCTATCACCACTCCATTTACACCACTCTATCTTCCATCCGTCCATCTTCAACCACTCCATCTACCACCGCTCCATCTACCACCACTCCATCTTCCATCCCTCCATCTACCACCACTCCATCTTCCAACACTCCATCTACCACCACTCAATCTACCACCTCTCCATCTTCCACCACTCCATCTACCACCACTCCATCTACCAACACTCCATCTACCACCACTCCATTTACCACCACTCCATCTACCACCACTCCATCTTCCATCCCTCCATCTACCAGCACTCCATCTACCACCACTCCATCTACCACCACTCCATCTTCCACAACTCCATCTACCACCACTTCATCTACCACCACGCCATCTTCCACCACATCTACTCATCTACTACCACTCCATCTTCCATCTACCACCATGCCATCTTCCACCACTCCATCTTCCATCTACTACCACTCCATCTTCCATCTACCACCATGCCATCTTCCACCACTCCATCTACTACCACTCCATCTTCCACCACTCCATCTTCCACCTCTCCATCTTCCACCACTCCACCTTCCATCTACTACCACTCCATCTTCCATCTACTACCACTCCATCTTCCACCACTCCATCTTTTATCCCTCCATCTAGTACCACTCCATCTTTCAACCCTCCATCTACCAATACTCCATCTACTGCTACTCCCACTACCACCACTCCCACTATCACCACTCCCACTACCGCCACCCCCACTACTGTTACCCCTCACTCCCAGGTGAGGTGTACTCACCTACATGCCCTCACATAGCTGTACTCACGTTGTTGTAGTCACTTAGTTGTATTAACCATCTACTTGTACCTAACCAAGTTGTGCTAACTCAATAATTGTATAAAGAAAATATTTTGCACACCTTTCATATAATTCAGACACAACATTTGTAATTAATATTAATGTATGTTACAGAATGACATAAAAATTTATTAAATGAACAAGAAAAAACTAATTGTTTTACGAATGTTTCATACAGCTATTAAACAACATTCACAATTTATACATGCAATGAATAAAGTCCCCGTGGTGTAGTGGTAAGATACTCGCCTGGCGTTTCACAAGCGCTTTGTCCTGGGTTCGTATCCTGGCCGGGGAGGATTTACTGGACGTCAATCCCTAACTTTAGTCTCTGTTTACCCAACAGTAAGATGGGTACCTGGTTGTTCAACGATTTGGCAGCGTCTTCTTCTGGGGAACATAAGATTAAGGACTGGTCCAAAATGCTATGCATGCTAGTGGCTGTACAAGAATGAAAGAACTCTTGTATATGTAAATATTAAATAATAATAAATAATGTACATGACTTTAATATATAAACATGAAAAAACTATTTTTTGGTTAATATAAAGAAGAAACTGGTGTTATAAAAGACCGAATTTGCCAAATTCCATAAAGAAATACTTTTACCATTCTTGGGTTAAAGGTTACTCATGTGCCTGTTGACCCAAACCCACAACCCTGTGGAAACGTTAGTGGAGGTTTTAACACCGTTTTGTATATGCCAAAGGTACGACATATATATATATATATATATATATATATATATATATATATATATATATATATATATATATATATATATATATATATATATATATATATATATATATATATATATATATATATATATATATGTCGTACCTAGTAGCCAGAACTCACTTTTCAGCCTACAATGCAAGGCCCGATTTGCCTAATAAGCCAAGTTTTCAGGAATTAATATATTTTCTCTAAATTTTTTCTTATGAAATGATAAAGCAACCCATTTCATTATGTAAGAGGTCAATTTTTTTTTATTGGAGTTAAAATTAACGTAGATATATGACCGAACCTAACCAACCCTACCTAACCTAACCTAACCTATCTTTATAGGTTAGGTTAGGTTAGGTAGCCGAAAAAGTTAGGTTAGGTTAGGTTAGGTAGGTTAGGTAGTCGAAAAGCAATTAATTCATGAAAACTTGGCTTACTAGGCAAATTGGGCCTTGCATAGTAGGCTCAGAAGTGAGTTCTGGCTACTAGGTACGACATATATATATATATATATATGTCGTACCTAGTAGCCAGAACGCACTTCTCAGCCTACTACGCAAGGCCCGATTTGCCTAATAAGCCAAGTTTTCCTGAATTAATATATTTTCTCTATTTTTTTTTCTTATGAAATGATAAAGCTACCCATTTCATTATGTATGAGGTCAAATTTTTTTTATTGGAGTTAAATTAACGTAGATATATGACCGAACCTAACCAACCCCACCTAACCTAACCTAACCTATCTTTATAGGTTAGGTTAGGATAGGTAGCCGAAAAAGTTAGGTTAGGTTAGGTTAGGTAGGTTAGGTAGTCGATAAACAATTAATTCATGAAAACTTGGCTTATTAGGCAAATCGGGCCTTGCATAGTAGGCTGAGAAGTGCGTTCTGGCTACTAGGTACGACATATATATATATATATATATATATATATATATATATATATATATATATATATATATATATATATATATATATGTCGTACCTAGTAGCCAGAACTCACTTCTCAGCCTACTATGCGAGGCCCGATTTGCCTAATAAGCCAAGTTTTACTGAATTAATATATTTTCTCTATTTTTTTTCTTATGAAATGATAAAGCTACCCATTTCATTATGTATGAGGTCAATTTTTTTTATTGGAGTTAAAATTAACGTAGATATATGACCGAACCTAACAACCCTACCTAACCTAACCTAACCTATCTTTATAGGTTAGGTTAGGTTAGGTAGCCGAAAATGTTAGGTTAGGTTAGGTTAGGTAGGTTAGGTTGTCTAAAAAACATTAATTCATGAAAACTAGGCTTATTAGGCAAATCGGGCCATGCATAGTAGGCTGAGAAGTGAGTTCTGGCTACTAGGTACGACATATATATATATATATATATATATATATATACATATATATACATGTATATATATATATATACATATATATACATGTATATATACATATATACATATATATACATGTATATATACATATATACATATATATATATATATATATATATATATATATATATATATATATATATATATATATATATATATATATATATATATATATATATATATATATATATATATATATATATATATATATGTCGTACCTAATAGCCAGAACGCACTTCTCAGCCTACTATTCAAGGCCCGATTTGCCTAATAAGCCAAATTTTCATGAATTAATGTTTTTTTCGTCTACCTAACCTACCTAACCTAACCTAACCTAGCTTTTTTTGGCTACCTAACCTAACCTTACCTATAAATATAGGTTAGGTTAGGTTAGGTAGGGTTGGTTAGGTTCGGTCATATATCTACATTAATTTTAACTCCAATAAAAAGAAATTGACCTCATACATAGAGAAAAGGGTTGCTTTATCATTTCATAAGAAAAAAAATATAGTAAATATATTAATTCAGGAAAACTTGGCTTATTAGGCAAATCGGGCCTTGAATAGTAGGCTGAGAAGTGCGTTCTGGCTATTAGGTACGACATATATATATATATATATATATATATATATATGTCGTACCTAGTAGCCAGAATGCACTTCTCAGCCTACTATGCATGGCCCGATTTGCCTAATAAGCCAAGTTTTCCTGAATTAATATATTTTCTCTAATTTTTTTCTTATGAAATGATAAAGCTACTCATTTCATTATGTATGAGGTCAAAGTTTTTTTATTGGAGTTAAAATTAACGTAGATATATGACCGAACCTAACCGACCCTACCTAACCTAACCTAACCTATCTTTATAGGTTAGGTTAGGTTAGGTAGCCAAAAAAAGTTAGGTTAGGTAGTCGAAAAACAATTAATTTATGAAAACTTGGCTTATTAGGCAAATTGAGCCTTGCATAGTAGGCTGAGAAGTGCGTTCTGGCTACTAGGTACGACATATATATATATATATATATATATATATATATATATATATATATATATATATATATTATATATATATATATATATATATATATATATATATATATATATATATATATATATATATATATATATATAATATATATATATATATATATAATATATATATATATATATATATATATATATATATATATATATATATATATGTCGTACCTAGTAGCCAGAACGCACTTCTCAGCCTACTATGCAAGGCCCAATTTGCCTAATAAGCCAAGTTTTCATGAAGTAATGTCTTTTCGATGACCTAACCTTACCTAATCTAACGTTTTCGGCTACCTATATATATATATATATATTTTTTTTTTTTTTTTTTTTTTTTTTTTTAAATAATATATGGAAGGGAGTACCACCTCTAGCTGGAAGAAGGGGGACCCATAGCCTCCCATTGCCTAATAAGCCAAGTTTTCCTGAATTAATATATTTTCTCTAATTTTTTTCTTATGAAATGATAAAGCTACTCATTTCATTATGTATGAGGTCAAACCACGCATAACGCATTATAGGGAATGTTTAGATCCCCTCCAATACAGTTTCTGTGTGCTTTTCTCCTACCGCCCCCTTACTTTTTTATTTTTTGTGCTTTATTATGCATTTGATGGTTACAAGATATACATGGGTTGATACAAAAATAATAATGCAAAAAGGTGCTTAAAGGTTATGGATCTCTTGTAAAACACAACAATGGGAAACATTGATGAATGTCACAGACGGGTTTGATCATTGTTGCAAGTCAAACACTTCTTCGAATTCCTCTGAAGTTGGACTAGTGCCCAAGACGCAACAGGCATTTCCCCTCTGAATCGCAACACTGAGGCGCTGGAACAAGAAACTTTTTGCTCTCTGGTCTTTTGTAGCGCTGATCAATTTGTCCCCCAATTCCTTCAGGAACTTCAATGCACATTTTCCCCACGAACCGAGGGTCTCCGAGCCGATCGGAACAAAGCTGTACAAGTGTGCTAGACCTCTGTATTTAATAATTTTCTGCGATTCCCTGAAAGAAGCAGCACCACCGCTTTCACGTGTGCTGTAGTGGAGGTAGGTACTGGCCAGTGTGGCAGCGCACGTGTAGTCCCATACCACTTGCTTACCATCCTTCCAAGGTAGCAAGGTGACCCCATCAGGGCGCTTCTGAGGGTCGTTAGGTCTGGATAAGTGTGGTTCTCTTTGTGCCGGGCAGCGGGCTGTGGCGAGGCTCCTCTTGATGATGTCGTTGACTTCTTCATGTCTTGCGATTTTACCCTGTGATTTACGACATACCAGACCATGACGACCATATTGGTCTGCCATCGCAGTTCCGCAGATGCACCTATGTTCGGGGAGGATCGGGGCGGCAAGGCGAAGGGCAACTCCAATGCGGAGAGCGTCATGACTGAGGCGAGTTCCCAGGGCTGCATTGGGCACAGCAAATAAAAAATCCCCGGCGTGGGGTGCTGTTACCGCTAGGAGGCGGGCTTTGTTTTCAGCATCAGTGTTGTCAATCATTGCTGTGACAGTCTTTTCCATTATTTGGCTATCCCAGTGGGCTTGCTTGTGGTCTTTCGGGACTTGTGGTCGTGGTTGAGTATATATATATATATATATATATATATATATATATATATATATATATATATATATATATATATATATATATATATATATATATATATAACTGAAAACTCACACCCCAGAAGTGACTCGAACCCATACTCCCACAACTGGTATGTACAGGGAACATACCAGTTGTACTTCCCTGTACATACCAGTTGTGGGAGTATGGGTTCGAGTCACTTCTGGGGTGTG